GAATACAGCTCATATGGTGAGGAATGTCACACTTTGTTTCTATGGTTCACTGAGGATATTAGGAGTAACCTTATTTCTGTTTAAAGGAGAATTCTGTTTGCAAATGACTTTCCAGCATCCCAGCAACGGATTTCCATAAGGACTGGCAGAAAACAAACAGTAATTCCTATTGTTCCTTCACTCCAGTGACTGAAGGATTTCCCAAGCAACTCCACAATGCAGAGGGCAGCAGTACTGTTACATACCTCCCACTTGTGCAAACGGGGTAACCAGAAGATTTGCAGTGCACAACCCTGGTCCTGTCAAGTTCGTGCCAGGTACAGCAACACAGCTGAGGCACTGAGCAGAACACGCCTGTCGAGCCCAGGTACCACCCAAGCCTTCACGCAGTCCACATCACAACAGCAATTTCCAGCACAGACCTGACCAGAATCAGACATCCCTAACTGTCCAGTCATTGTCTATCACACTCACATCTATCTTCCATGTTTTTAAAGAGGCTGATGATCACTTTATAACTGTATTCACAACTCTTTCTTTACCTTTGATGAACTACCTCCTCAATAGGAGTTTTAAAGAGGAAAAAGAAAAAAAGCCACCACCCAGAAGAGATCAGGCTGTCTGACAAAAGACTTTCTCACTGGATACTTTAAAGTGTTTATGAACAAGCCCAACAGCAGGTTTTTAAGTTTTCCTCAACTGAATCTCACATTGCTGAGCACAGCTCACAGTTCTACTCTTCAGATTTCCCTGAAGCCTTACTACACCTTCACGCATACTTGCTCCTTCTCGTTTCTGTAACATCAGCACATATACACAAGTGGTGAGTTTACAGTGCCCCCAGACACCACTAATAAAATTAACATCAAGTAGAGGCCTAGGTGCCCCTCTCCCTCCCTTCTGGCGACGGCTCATTTAAGAATGTTCTTTTATTGGAGGTCACAGTAATAAATGATCTTCCACTAAATACTTGTTGCAGACAGCATGAAATTTTCTGTCTGAATCCTTATCAAACATCTCACTGAAGTGCAGACGTGCTAATTACCAAGAAAGCACAGTAGAATCAAAAACCGCAAGTTTTATTTATATATAGAACTTGACAGCATAAAACTTTATCACTAGATCTTACTGAATTTTAAAAAGGGTTAGGCAGGTTCCCATACCAAGGTTGCGATGCACCTACCACAGAAACCACTTCAGATACTCTCACCATCCTACCAGTGAAAGGCAGGGATCAAGCCAGTTCAAGCCCCTCATCTCACCAAATCCGCCATCATTGTACAGTTACTGACACAGCTCTGGAGCCAGCACCATAAGGATCCGCTATGGGTTACACATCTTTAAGGCAGAAAAGGTTACTAAGGAATAAGAGGAATGCTGAAAAGCATGCTAAAAAAAGTCTTCCCACTTATTGTTCTGAGAAAGAAACCAAGAACGACAAGGAACAACCTTGCTTTTTGACTGAAAACTTCTAAAAGCCCAGGTCTGTTTGTTTAAAGGAGTGTCAGGGTCACCTGCTGCATCATAAAGAAGCTGGAAGAGACGTCAGTCACATTCTCATTTCTCCATGTCTGCAGATTTGTAACTACAGCAACGGTATCTATAAGGATACAACCTTGTCTGCAGGTCCAGAAGGGATCTGAAGCAAAATTTACAGCATGCAGGAGAAACAGGCATGGAATGAAATAGCCAGACGCCAGGTTTTACATGCTTAGATGACAAGTGCTTATTAAGCTTGGATTATGTTGCAATTCCTTAGTCTTCCCCAAGATCACTGACCCTCAAAGAGATTAAGCAATTCAAGTTTGCTACAACTTGTAACAGATCCAGTATGACAAGAGTTTAACAGCAGCTGGCAGAGCAAAGCACAGCTGTTTATCATAGCACACCAGAAACAGTTCTTCAAACACACATCAGGGAGCACGGAGACAGAGTTTTATCAGGAACATACCTTTCGGACTAGAGTTACTAAATTGTGGCTTTAAAGCGAGTAATGTGTCTGTAAGTGCACTGCAGAAAACCAGACTACAAACAGGCACTCACTAACGGTACAAGCTACGCATATACTTACTGCGGAACTTCACAAACCCCTAACACTCTTTAGCATCATGAGACCCCTTCTTTGGTAGTCAAAAGCTGTAGCCACCTTCGTTAAGGCAAAGGCACTTTGTTTCCTTATAGGAACCACCCCTTTGCCATCCTTCAAGTACTGATCAAAGTAAACATGTGTAAGCAAGGCTACTAGTTGGTGTGGTTAAAAAGACCCAAATGAGGTAAGCAATCTATCTCCCATTCTAATGCTCCCAGAATGAAAAAGAAAGGTCTAAATATCAGACATCTGCATAAACAAGCGGTTACTCCTTCTCTTTTTATGCTGATGTTCACGATGGCTGGCCATTTGAGCTGAAAGTTTGACTGGGTGAAATGAGATTCCCCCTATTGACCCCAGTCTTTTTCCTGTCAAAGAAGTAATGATAAAAACGGGATTGTTTTCAGAGAACTGAAAGCCTTTTTTGTATATGCAACAAGCCATTCCACATTAAGTCCATGGAGTATTTTACTTGCTTCAACATTACAAAAGCAATTTGTTTCCAGACAGTGCAGAATAATTAATTCACTCTTCACCAAGACAAGCTTTTCTCCATATTGTGCCTGCTACCCACATCGAGTTTCACAGAGAACAGCTGAACTCCATGCACATAGACTAGTAAGACCATGGTCAGAATCAAGAACAGTTTCAACGTGCAGTAAGTTTTCACTGTCACTTCCTTCTCTGACAAACTAAACATTGCCACCTACCGACTGTGTCAAAACCTAAACTTCAAATGGTTGGTTTATTCCCCACTCCCAGACACAATGCCTAAGAGGCATAACACAGGCTGTAAGGAAAGAGCATTACAGCCCAGATAAACTGTAAATGGATGCCTGAGAATCTCAGCTATTATTGTTACTTGTTTTGTTCCACTGTTGTAGCTACTTTAAGATGTCGAATTTTAGTAATTTTGGTCCAAGTCTTGATCTTGCAACATGACTGTCAAGCACGTATTTCTGCAATAAAAGACCCAACCACACACGACAGACAGCTGTGTGAATTTGAAGACAACCACCGTTCCTTACAAGCTTTATAATGGCACCATATGTTCTAGATTTGATAGTCCAGGGTAGAGCTTGAAGGCTGTGGTCCAAGGAACTCGGAAAAAAGTAACATCTGTTGCTGTTTTTCCAAGATTTTTCCGTACCTATGGCTTGACAAATAAGAAAAAAGCCTATGATCATTCTTGCACCATCCAACTCCAGCAGCACCAAAGATGTAACCAAAACACTATTTTAATTATTCTTCTACATAATTACATTGTCAAACAAGAAATACCTATATAGCCACAAAAGTTTGTCACAGTGTATGAACAAGGGTTCTACTTCGCAGCTGCTGCACGTATTCTTTTGCTTGGTCAAAACCAGTCCTTGGTGGCTCTGGAGGAGGAGGAGGACCTTCCACCAACTTCACAAAGTAATGGCACCTGGAGATTTTCATGATGCCAAACATGCCTTTGCCATGGTAACGAATCCGCTTCACATAGCGGCCTCTGCCCGTCAGTGACTGAGCTGAAGGAAAAAGGCAGGGGGGAGAGAAGACTATTCAGTCAAGAATAAACCACTGCACATCCACAACTGAAACACTGTCTTGCCAGTGAATTTTTCATGACTGCCTATGAAAAGTTAATTCTACTTGGGATTCTCTCCTCCATCTTTCCTCTATTACATTTAGTAAATTACTGCTATAGAGGAACCCTTCAGTTTAATTAACCCTCTTCAGGAGCACCAAAAAGGTGAATTTGGAAAGCATGCATGCAAAGATAAGTATGTAGTAAAGGACAAGTCTAAAGGAAGCTACGGTGAGCACTTGCTAGACTATATAGCTCTTCTGAAGGCGGTATTAACTCCGCTGCTTTTCAGTAGTTTGCCTCATGAACCCCTGTAGAAGTCTTACAGACTTCATTTTCCCTCCTTTCTCCCTTTATTGCACTTATAGGTACTTTCATTATCTACACATCCAGTACTGCACTATCAGGTAAACTTTCTTACGGTACAGGCCTGGAAGGCTTCAAAGAATTCTAACCAAATCTGCTCTATAATTCAGGTTACTTTAATCTTACATGGTCATCTTAATAACTTTTAGTACCATCTTTGGCAAAATGGGAATTTTTTTCTTTGGCCCTAAAAACACCTACAAGTAAACATTTCTCTAACATTTTTCTAGGCAAGAACGTGCTGTAGGTATTACAAGCTCAACCTGTAATCATCTATAACAAAGCCTATTTATTAGTGTCAATATTCATTTACTGTTACGCTGTTTCTTACAGAAGTTTAGATTCTGACCCTGCAAATCTAGTAGTACTAGCCATGGACAAAGCTTCCAGCATCTCCGTTCACTGGCGACACTAAAAAGTGGTAACAGTTTGCTTCTTGTTGTCTAGTCTCTCTTAATCATGTCAAGCATCTTCCTCTTCATGACTTTCTGTTCACACACAGAGCAGAAATCCCATTCTCAGATGAAGGCAACTAGCAGGTGCCAGGAGAGCATCAGTCAGACACCAGCTACAACAAACTGATGGTTGAACGCTCAAAAACCACGCAGCTCCAGTTGCGCTGCAAGTCGGAAGCACGTGCCTTCCATCTTTTGGTGAAGGTAATTTTACTAGAAACTATCCTCTATTCATGCCTGCCGACTTGAAGCAACAAAACCTTAAGGATAAAATTTTGTCATAGGGTAGGATGACATTTTTCTGCACTAAAATAAGAAAAAACGTACCTATATGTAAATTGGATTTGAATTCCACGTTGTGATTTCTTACTGCCATTTCCTGTGCTTCTAACAGAACCTGTAACAAAAGGAAAAATGGAAGTACTGAGTAAGAATTTAAGCAATCCTATTTCTTATCTCTAGATAACACGGAAGAAACTGCAAGTTTCAGTCAGTTACAGAAAAAGTATTCTATAGAGATCAAAATTGTTAAAGACAAACACCTTTTAGAGAAGTATGTTCTTTGCATACAGACTGAAAAAGCTTCAGGACAATTTTATTACATTTTTTGGGAGGAAAGGGCGTGGAAAAGATGGTTCCCACCAGCATCTGTCAGCTTTCCACCCAGGACCCTTTGTCTAATTAGACATCAGACTAGAAACAAATTCCAAGGTGGGCAAAATGAACTTAGGCCATTCAATATTTTCGGCTAATACAGGATACTACTTCGTCATTATTATGCCAGAAATCAATACTTCAGCCAAGAAAATGAGCAGTTTGAGACTCCTAAGTACAGTTTTGAAAAGCTTTCATGTTTTTACAGAACTTAGTCCTCTCTGATATCCTCTATTGCTTACAATATTAAGAGCCAAAGCACATCGATGTAGCAGCCGTTAGTGGCAAGGATTCTGCATTATTTACCATGAACTTAACACCAAGCGTTGTTAGAGAGGGTACTCACATGTCATTTATCATCATTACAAGTTAAATCGGCCAGCACAAGTGACCTATGCATATTCATAAGTCACAACATTACATGGCTGCTACAAAAATAGGTTGTTTGAATGTGGTCCCAACAGGCTTAACAGAAACAGGGAAACACAGAAATAAACATCTCCAAACTTCTGGCAATAGATACTGATTTTAAAGTTTCCTTGAAACTAGGAGTATTAAAGAATACTACTACATACCTCTTTGATCACCTTTGCTCCCTTTTTATCACTAAATTCCAACTGAGCAAGAGCCTGATCAATGGACATTCCTTTTATCTGCAACCAGAGTGTGAGTTAACATCTGCAGTTACAAATATTTCCCTTCTCTTATTCAGAAAACTATTTGTTATTTTGCTATTATAAAGAGCAAATCAAAAGACTTTAGTTTCCTTAATTACCATTTCTTCAATGTAATATCTTACATACAGAACTTCTGAGGTAAATATTGAATAAATCTTCATAAAACACTCAATTTTTTTTCTTAAAAACAGCCCATTACTATCCTTCAAAGTTCCTCTTCCCATCTACTATTAGGCAGAAATCAACATGAAAATTCCTCCACAGGGCATGATCTGCATAAGATCCTGAGAGCATACTAGGATAAAGCAGCTAAACCAAACTACAACTGTTCGCCTGCACAGATGCATGCTCTTCCCAGGACTATTATGAAGATGCTGATTAGCCCGTGATTGAACTAGGCTGTTAAGGCAAATACAGCAATGAAATTCTGCAGTCTAACAAACACAGTGCAAAGTACTTTTTCCTTACCAGTTTTGCCAGATACCACATCTTATCTTTGCTATATTTTATTTCCCTCCGACAGTGATAGATTTCCTAGGTGCAAAAAAAGTTAGAGGATCAGTGATTTTACTGCGAAAACAAGAATGGAGCACACACCCCTGCTCCACAATCTATTTTCTTACTATGAATAAAATTACTCCCCCTACTACACCACGAACATACCAAATCAGGCATACCTTTGACATTTGAAGCTGAAAGCATTAAAAAAAGGTAGCTAGCATACAGAAAAATTTAATACAATCTTACAAGAATAAGTTTATAGAAGCTCCTGAAAAGGATAATCAGAAGATTTTATCTTCTTCTGTCCTCCTCCCCACCTTTTGAAGCAGTCCAAGACTGACATGCCCATTCAGTCTTCAAAATATTACTCTGCTGTCAAGTCAACTTACTGGGATAGCAACTAAACAATTTTACCAGAATGAACTTAATTAGCTCTTCAGAAGTGAAGAGGCATAAAGAGCTGTCTCCAAAGACCCATTTAACATTATTACTGTACCAACAGGGACCAAAACCAGCTAGTAAACTTTAACATCAATACAAATTTGAAGGAGATGGCATTCTTTATGAACAGGTAAAAGAAAAACTTGTTAATTTAATAAGCAAGTTGGTCGATAACTGCATTTTCACACACATTGCATTAGTCAGCACAACACACTGCATGTATTTCTAGGTCCTAGGCCACAATGTTCACAGAAGCAATAAATGCTCATGGCCCACAAAAGCACATGTCCAAAAAACCCTACTCTTTTGAGATGCAAATACTTTGCTGAGCAGTACGCCTTACAGAGGCCACAATACATTAATGCTTAATGAAGATCAATTACAAAAATGGAATTCCAAAATACCAGTAACTCAAGAGTAAGGCAACACTGAAGTAGTAACCTAAAATTCTCCCAGGTTGTACTGTAGAGAAAGCAGCACCAATGAGTCCTTTCAGTGACCAAATATACAACATGCAGTGTTCAGGTGAAACTTAAATTAAGAAGCTTGCTTCTGTTCACATTAAACTGTACTTCCCAGTTATAAAATGATCAGTAAGATGGGACAGGGAGAAACAGGCATAAACCCGCTGTTATCAAAAACTAATCTGTTATGACTGCATTTAAAAAACTTGATCATTTAACTTATGTTTCCAAAAGTTGTCTTGAATGGCTAGTGGACGGCCCTACACCAAGCATACAGGCAAGAAGAGAATTTTAGATTCCTTGCTTCAGTTTATGGTTTAGAGAAACACAGATCGTTGTGCAACAGACTGAAGAAACAACCTGACTGTACAGTATATATAGAACAGTTTCCTAATCAAAAATCTCCTGCAACCACATGCCACAACTGACTCGCACGTCCCTCCCCACATTACTTTAGAACCTCTCAGTCCATATCAAACATTTCAAGAAACCAGTATGACAGAAAACAACCTCTGAACAGCTTCATGAAGGGGAGGCCACAGCAAGAGGCAACACATTATGAGACCTCAGAGAATCTATAAAGCAGAGATGTTAAGAAATGAAAGAAGCATGCACCCTACTGTACCTACATCAAACAGGCACCGCTAGCTCCGCTGCTCAATGGAAGTTACATTTGTGTCCTTGCGCACAGAAGCAGCAAGACAGTCACCTTCCTCCTAGTTATTTACCGTCAGTACAAGCAGAGCAAACGTATTAAGAACACATCCTTGGTAACTTCTAGCTCCTTGTAGTTCAGAGACTTCTACAGAGGACGGCACCTTTGCAGTTTGCATCACAAATTAGGTAGGTGATCAGCTGCAAGCCATTTGAAGCTCCAGCATAATTTAGAAGTGGAAAACATTCAAAGTTATGTTAATTTTTACAATATAAATATACCAGACTGACTAAGATCTTAAATAACAAATGAACAGGCTACCAAGATAGTGCTTTGTAGAGACAGAGTCACCCAGAGACAGTGACAATCTATTCAGAAACTCCTAACATAAACAGGTAAGGACATGTACAGGTGTAGCCTTACAGCTGGTCTGCGAGGTTCTCCAGGCAGCTGTGGAGGGTAAACAATCCTGTTCTTTTTCTCCCACTTCCCAAGTTTCTGCAGAGATGCACTTGTGTGGATGCATGACAGTGGAACAAGGCTACTGGATGCTAGCCACCTGCAAGACAAGACCACAGTCTTTGCTGCTGAACACAAGAGTTCTTTGTCCCTGCCCAGTTTATCTGGAAGATTGTGAACTTACCTGTCTTGATAAAGAGAACTGATACATTTGACTACTCACAAAATAAAACTGATGAAGTCCTCTACAGTTTATGTTGAAAGGGCTTTTTATTTCAACAAAAAGCCTCAGGCTTTCTAAAGCAAACCATGAACTGCAAGTGACACTGGTATAGCGCAAGATTCCACACTAAGCGTCCCCGGATCGTCACTCAAAGACACAGTCACCTCTTTGTTCTTATGTGGGGTTCATTAACCACACAAACAGTTTATATCTTTTCCAAGACTAGTCAATACTTATTTAATTTTTACCAACAACATTTTTAGCAGTAAAAACTTCTACTTTTTCAAGGGACTGAGGACCTACAAACTATTAGAAGTTTATAAACATTCTGAAGTCTGAAAGGAAGGGTATTCTAAACTACTTTCAAAACAAAATCAAGTCAATATAAGACAGCCGATAGCAAAAAAACTCTAGTTTTCAGTCAGTTCGCTCACCTCAGATTCAGAAAAACCAAGCTACACTTTGCCCCCTGCTGACTCGATAAAGCAGTACGGGCAGCCACCGGTAACTTCAAGAAAGAGATGAGTTCGAGACCAGATCCTGTGTTTTACTACGGCTTGAACAGCTTCATGTGGTTAGCCAAACTGTGCTAAGCATTTTAAAAACAACTGGCAAAGAGAACACATTGATTCGTTTGAAGAGGTCATTGTACACCTTCAAGTTTTCACATCCTATCAGGAGGGGGTAGCATAGCACATCCATTTAAATGTTATGGAATATTCTTTCAGATATCTACCAAAACCGGTTTAATTACTTAATACTTAAAAATTTCACTCATCAATACAACAATTCGTCATCACCAAACTGATTACACAGGGAAACACTTGACAAGCACATGAATATCACTTTGCAATTTAACCCTTTAAGCGCTAATGAACCAAGTATTGTCTTCCTGGCATTAGCAGCACACATTAATACACTCGACAATCTAAGGAGTCTTACATTCTTTCTATCTTTGGGAATCCAACCCCATACGAAGAGCAATTCTATTTATCATAACTTTAGGAAAAGAAAGAGGACACAAACACACTGTAGGCAAAAGAAAAGTGACAAGCAACAAACTAAAGTACATTACACAGGGGTAAGTCAAGGGAACAGGAAAGAAAAAACCTGAGCACCTTTCTAGAAAGAATCATGCATAAGCAGCCAGTGGGAGACATGCAGACTAGAACTGAGCAAACCAAACAATTAGCACATAACCGTTCAATTCCAAGGCAGTAAGCAAAGCACGGGCAAAACAAGACTATTTTTGATTTCTTCAGTGACACAGGTCTCTGCGTTTTATCTCCACAGGCTCTAACAGAGAGCAAAGCTCTGCACTTTGAGAATCCACATCAGCCTTTCTTCTGCAGTCAGGGATGCAGCCAGCAGTCCCCCAGCACAGCTCTGCCACTCCTCCAGACTGAGGGGAAAGACAAGCAACTACAGAAAAGCAACGGCTGAGGAGGGCGCAGAAGGAAGAAACAGGCACTATGTTACTGTGACCTGCACCATAAAGCCGGGGCAAACCTGGATGCCCAATAAAAAGGGGTCAGGAGAGAAAAAAAAAAAAAAAAAAAAAAAAAAAAAAAAAAAAAAAAAGACACCTCCATGACACCACAGTCTCCAAGGACATAGAAAAACACCACAGACACGTGCAGCGACCCGTTCCCCACAGCTCCGGGGCGGCAGGGCAAGGAGCCAGCAAGAAGGCCG